AAGGTTATTTATATTCATCTCATCTGTGAACTTAAGTTGAAATGGAAAAAGTAACGGGCCAGGATAGCAGTAATTAAAGTCTGAGTGTCTTTGGATACTGGTGGGTAACTGGTGCAACATGAAGACTTTTGGAAATAGAATTCCCAGAGGGAACTTTGTTGTTTCTTTCCCTATAGCCATGATCTGACTTAGTGGGATGTAACAGTGCTTTCTAAGAGTGCACCAATGAGCCTGAAGAAAATTCCTTGGGAAAGGGTTCTTCTAACCAGAATAAAGCTCTGTGCTAGTTGGCAAATATGGCCATTGGAAACTGTATTTTGTTCTCTTATTGTAAGGTGAGGAAAAACCCTTTGATTGCCCATGGTTTGGTGCTCGTGAAAGTGCTTTTTAAGGTGATGATGCCTGAATCATTAGGATAGCTTTAAAGAAATGGGAATGAGAAGGTAGAATTTAACGTCATGTGAAGAAAATACATAGTTGAGATGTGTGTTTCTGCAGGTAGCTTGGTATGGCTGTTCTGCTTCTGGAGAGTAAACGTTCAGAATAGAATGCTGCATGTTTTCTGGACTTCAGCAGGCCAAGAAAGCTTCTAACAGTGTACCAGTGTGAACAACGTTTGGGCACTGAGTTTAGTGTCAATGTGAACCCATCTAATTGTGATTAACTGGTGGCAGCAGAACTCCTGGCTGTCCCTGATCCTGGACACTGCTGCTCTTCTTGGAGCTGGTGCTGATGGTTCCTGAAATCTCTTTGGTCACCCAGCTGAGGAGAATCCTCCTTAAAAAAAAAAAACGTGTGCTTTTGGGGTAATAAGACTTGTTTGGAAAGCAGTGTCCTAATCCCAGTCCATTTGTCATGCAGTTCAGAACTTTGTAGCTATGCTCACAAGAAGATGTGGTTATTCAGCTTTGTTTTAGGCAGGACATTCTGCTGCTTAAAAAGAAGTGGCAGAAGAGTCCACGTTGAGAGACAGGCAGTGTTTGATATTCAGGACTTGCAGTTCTTCAGTAAGGCTGTTTTTATGGAGTGCTCTGAGATTTTTCTCATAAGTCTTGCAAAGTTGATTGAAAAAGCTGTGTAACTTACAAATAAGAAGATCATCACAGAATTAATGTTTTAATTACTGAATTTAATATCCACTCTTAGGAGATGATTTAAATGTTCTAATGAGAAACACATTGATACTTCCATGTGTGGTGTTCTGTGCAGCTGAAAGAAACAAGTGCTTTATCACACATAAAGAGTATCAATAAAGAATTGTGCATGGCTTCCTGTTTTTTATGTTGTCCCACTTGAAAAAATGTTCTTTTGGCTGGGGCTTGGTTTATTGTTCTGTAACAATACTTGTGTATCGCTTGCTGGCTGAGGACCTTGGAGTTGGTCTGACTGACTCTAAGGCTGTGCTGGATCTAGAATGACTAAAACAGAGGATGGAAAACACATGCATTTCCTAATATTGCTGCACAGCAAGAAGTGAGAGATCAGTGGCAATTGGCAGTCTTGTTTTCAGGGGTTAGACCATGCTGTTGTCCTCCATACAGCCTTCAAACTTGTGATTAATGATCTTGGTGAAGGTGTTCTTTGGCTCCTGGTTTCCCTTTGGAGCTGGGGGGGGGGGGGGGGAGGGGAGGAGGACACCTCAATGTCTGTAGGCAGTACAGAAGAATGAGATGCTTTGTGTTGTCTGCTCTGCTAAGGTGTAACAGTCAAGCTGGTGATGGGCCTCATCTTCGTAGTCATGCGTGTGTGAATGTATTCTGGTTGTGTCCTTGTTGAGCATGCAGAGAATTAGAATTATGAATGGATGGGCTGCTCAGCCTTGAATTGGTTGTGCATCTGTCCTTATCAGATCGTGCTTTGAGGTAGAACAACCAGATCTACAAAAATACCCAGCACTGGCTTCTCTAGGACTACAAAAGGACGTTGGTTTGGCCAGCATTACTTTCCTATTTAGTAACCCCCAGGCGAGGCTCAGCAATGCAAGATGGATGTGTACAGATCCATGTGGTGAAGGTCTCTGGGAGATACCACGAAGGCTGTCTGACCCCATGACTTCCATTCCTTCACGTGCATTGCAGTGCATGAGCTGATGTGGCTGTCAGATGTAACCTGTAACCATGATGGGGAAAATGGAAGCCCGGGAAAACAAAGAGAAACAGAGGGAAATAAAAGGAAAATAAATGGAAGGATTATAATTCTGACACAGTTTTTCCTAACCTGTTCTGCCAGAAAGCTTCAAGGCCTTGTAGAGTTCTGCACAGATGTAATTTGTTTCCACTGAACCCTTGAAAGAAGCTTTGTAAGTAGGTCAGATACAGTTTCCTTGCTTTAAAGTTGTATCTCTTCCGCTATTTATGAAACTGTAAGCAATCTTGAGAATAAATGAACTGATCTGAGTTGCTGAAAATACGCAGCCACGAAGGTAGATTTCTGCATGTGGTTCTGATGTCTTTCATTATTTAATGGGACGTTTCCATATGTGTGGAAAAAGAATCAATCCAGAGGATGGATTGAGGAAAGAGTCAATCCAGAAAATGTGAATAAATGTTACTTTTATATAATAACAGAGGCTTGTACTTAGACAGCTACCAGCCTCAATTTTTCTTGCTGTAACTGTGAGCCAGCATTGTTTTCTGCTTCAAGCTTATTTTGAGGCACGTGGGCTTTTTTTCCTTCTTTTTTTCCCCTTACTCTTACCATTTGGTTTAATAGAATGTGACATTCTTACCAAAAAAGATTTGACTTCTATGTGCAAGTAGATGGAAAGCTGTTTGTGGTGTTTGTAATTTGGTTCTGTCAGCTAAGGAAGTATAACTTCACCTTTCAAACGGTGTTTTAATATTAGTTTCATGTTTACATTTGGAAATAAATGTGCATTGATCCTTCTAGCTTTACTTGGGCAAAAATGTGTTGATGATCTGAATGAAGAGGCTTTGTGACTTAAGGTGTGTTTGCAATAGAGGCACGACTTGGCAAAGTAAGAACTGCTGGGTACGTTTTTGATGCAGTCACGTAGCACAGAGAGACTGGTGTCAGTTCTGCTGATAACCAGGAGCGAAAATAAAGCTGCAACAGTTTTATTTTCATTTATGGGAAATGATTGCAAATGTTTATAGATCTCTTACCTTGTATAAGGTGTGTGTTGCTGGTCCTCGTGTTTCAGGAAGAGCAGAGAGAAATGGAGAGGGTGGGAAGGAGTACAGCATTGCTGGCCAGAAATGCGTAAGAAGAGATTGATGGGGGTGGTGGTGTTTAGTTTTGAGCCAAGGTACCTGAAGGAAGATACAGTGGAAATCAGGACTGATGTGATGGATGAAGACAACAGTTGGCTGCCTTGTATCATTCAGAGTCTGTGGATATCAGCTCTCAGGTACTGGCTGTGTTGATGGCTGCTTTTACAGAGCAGACGCAGGAGTCTGCTAATTCTGTATGTACTCAGACAGCTATTTCAGTCATGTGTGGTGTCTTAAAAAATAAAGCCATACAAAATTTTAAATAGCTGCTCAGAGAGACCCTTTTATTAGCTTTGTTCAAGGAATGCGACAGGACTTTTGCAGAACTAAATTTGATGTAATCGGACATGGGGTGAATCTTTTTTAAGAGAAAGAGGCAGCTGACTGAAGTCTGCATGTTTTATGAATTCAAGCTTAATAGTCTGGTGGATATTCTTGGTGTGTTTTCAATGAGAAAGTAGAAATTTGTGTGCCAGCTGTTGTTTTTCATGTCAGATGCTTGCTCTGCACTCGGCTGTGTGGACATTTCCTGCTCTGGCCTTGACTCACTTTTAACACTCGTTTAGAAACTCCTTGGAAGAAATATTTATTTTTTTGTGTGCGAAAAAATACAAGGGATGCAACAGTGCATGCATGTCAAGTTTTGTAAAGTATAACATGGAGCTCATTTCCTTTTGACCAACGGACATCACGTAGTATTAATTTGGTCTTCAGTTCCATTGAACAGCATTTCTAAGAACTGCTGGACGTTTTATGTTTTACCAAAACAATCCCTTGTTGCTATCAGGTAAATATGAGATGACATCCCTTCATTTCATGATGTTCCTCTGCCTCTTATTTTATTTTTTTTCCTTTTCTGTTTTTTAACCCCGAGCTGCATCAGAATGGCAGGCTGTTTCCCCAGTGTAGATGGGATGCGTTGTGAAGTGCAGCCTGTGACTAATCGCCTCTTGCTGTCTCTGCCTATTAGCTGGCTTATGGTGATGTGGTTGCACCACTTTCTACACATGGCCTCAAGGATCTGGCATTGTGACACCCGTATTAAAATATGCAGCACTTGATTTGTGGAGATGTTTTGGGTTGGAAAATCGGAGAGGTTATGAACTGATGTTGTGGCTGTTTTTACCCTTTTGCTTTAATGACTGGTAGGTGGTAATTGAGTGAGGTGTGCCTAATTAATCTCAGAGTATGTGTTTTAGTGTACAGTCGATGTTCTAGGGGCTATTTATTTTCAGTTTTTCTCCCGTTTTGTTGAGTTGATGTTAATTTGAGCACTGTGGGTATATGGCTTAGAAGGTTGATTTTTGCTTTGCTTTGTTGCTGTGATAATTTTTAAAGTGAAAACACACTTGAAGTTTGTTAAAAGTCAGTGCTGAGCACGTTGATTTGATGAATTATTACCACATGAAAATACCATGAAGGCACTTTGGGTTTTCAAGTTCACGTGCACCTTAATCTTCCTAAACAGTTTACCAAATGCAAACAAGTCCTGGACTGGTGATTGATTTATTGGCAAATGTGAAACTTGCAGGCTGTTGTGGGGAGTGTAGCTGTGTGAACTTCACAATTATCTGCTGGCATCTTGGTAGCTGTGGAGTAGTTCTGTTGAGAGAACATTTTCTGTCTGGGATTTCTGTCATATTTAAGTGAAGGCACTCCCAGTTCAGTTGTATCCTCACACCCCCAACCTCAGACAGAAACAGAATGTCATTTAGTTTAGGAAAATAGGAACTATAAAACTGATGAGGAAGCATCATTAATTTTTTCCACTTTTTTTTTTTTTAGGGGTTTATAAGAAGATATAGGAACCGCTTCTCAAGCTGAAGACAAAGTAAAAGAAAACTGTATCATGTGTTAAAATACCGAAGGGTGAAATTTCTTGGATTAGCATATTTCTGGATTGTAAAGGAAAGGAAAGAAGAGACTGAAAATGGGGAGAAAGAAAATACAGATCACGAGAATAATGGACGAACGGAACAGACAGGTGAGAGCCGAGAAATGTGTGTGAATGTGGCCATCAGTAATCCTAAAAATGAATGGAGACCGAAGTTCGTTTGTTGTCTTCATTCACCCTTTAGAGGTGCTCAGTGTCTTCCTGTGTCTACAGATACATCACCAGAAAACAGGGAAGAAATATCTCTTAAGATTTTTAATCATATTTTTAGGGGATATTATTGTTATAAGTTCCAGCAATGGCTCCTTTAAATGAAATTCACTGTGTAGCTGCTGTTTCCATTCTGCAGTACAGTAGAAGTATTTATGATGCAGCTCTGAACAGAATGACTTCTGATCTTCAGGAATAGTTGTCGTGAGTCTGACTGAAGATCCAGCTAATCCAATATCTTTTATCCAGCTATGGTCTGAAACAAATAACCAGTGTTGTGTAGGATAGAGATGCACACGTTACACTGCTCTGTAATCCTCTTCCAGGTTCTAACTATTCTTAGCTCAGTGATTTCCTGAGCTGGATGTGGTTTCCGTATATTTAGTAACCATTAATGGATTTCCACCCCCCTGTCCCAGTGGACTTGTTCAGTCATCCTTTGAGCCCTTATAAAGTTGCAGCATTTACAACATTTTTTTGGCTCAGACTGTCTGTAGGTTTGTTGTATGTTGTTTCAAGAAAGCCCTTTTCATTTATATTTAGTTATGCTTCTGCTCGTTTTTTAGCTCTTCTCTGAAAGAGGCACAAGTCAGTCCCTGTCTGGTCCGTCTCTGCCTTGCTTGTTATTCTGTGGAACTCTGTCATACTTTCTTATTTTCTCTTTAAATAGCTGTTTTCAGGCTTAAGCATCTTAGCTTAGTTGTCTTTACACAGAATTTACTCCACACCTGTGATTGTACTCACTGCTGGTCTCTAAACAGTCTTGAGTGCTGTGTTCTTTTTTGATCACAAAGGGGCCCAGAATTGCACTCTGTTCAAGATGCATGCAGAACATGGATATATAGCAATGGTTTTTTTTCTATTCCCTTCCTACTTTTGGCTTTTTTTTTTTTAAACTTCTGCTGAGCACCAGCTTGATGTTATTTATCTTTCCAGAAAAATAATGATTGATGTTGGGGTTGTGATAGAATTCCATAAGACTGTCTTGCTGCTGATGTGCCTGCTCAAAGCCCATTGTTTTGTATGCAAAATCAGGATTGTTTTTCTCCCTGTATCACTTTAAAGCAGTGTAAACTCTGAGAAGGCTATATATAGCAGAAAAGTATTATTGGAGTTTGGGAGAAAGCCAAGTATTGTGTTTGAACAGCTTTAATCACACAACGACTGTGTGTTTGATGTAGATAAATGTCTTAAGTACACATAGTAAAAGCAGAGGAATTGTCATTTCTTTCAGATCTTGCTCTGGAACTTCAGACAAGTTGAAGAGGTAGAAATTGGTTATTCTCACCTTCCTACCCTCCTTTAACTTGCTTGGAGAGCAAGTTATAAACTTGCTGTTTTTGTCATGTTTGAAGTTAGAAATGCCCTTTTACATATATCCATATCATTGCTCAGATCGTTACTCCGTTACTCTTTTTTCTTTTTTCTTTTTTTTTTTTTTTTTTGCGTGAAGAAGTAGGGAAATAGTGCTTTTGTTTGAAATTTTAGTTGCTCTGCATGGACTGAAGCAAAATATGGGGATTCAACTTTAACTTCCCTTACGGATATTTTTTTGGCAAGCACGTTTTTTTGGCTTCACAGTGATTAGGAAGAGCTTTTAGGCCCTAACTTAACACTGGAGTTAGGTTTGCCCATTTCCTTTTCCTGTGGAAAAAGATTTTAAAGATATAAAATAGCTTCTGTCAGTGGAGCCATGTTTTGTAGAGATGGTTGATGGGTGATCAGTGTTTTTTGGCAGCAATTACATGCTGCTTTGACACACTAGGATGCCCTGATGCATAGGATATCTATTAGATATGGATTTACTTTGAAGAATTTTTTTCATTGAGCTGGATAAGGAGTGCAGTTAGGGCTTATTTTGCTAACCACATCGCATAGTTCATTTGTATTCTGTGAATTTTTTGATGGTATGAGTAGCTGATTAGTAGGTCCCTGATGAATATGTGAGTGATGTCCTGTCTTTCTGCTTAGTGTTCTTTTGCTTGTAAATACAAATAGAAATGTGATAGAACTGTGCTTGTAGTGGGTCTGGATAACTTGTGGGAATAAGAACTTTTGTTTTATCAGAAGCATCTTATTTCTAATGAGAGTGTATGTGAGCTCAAAACAATTTTATGTAGACCATTACTCCGGGGAATTACAATTGTCTTGAGACTGTCATTGTGTTATTAATTAAGCAGTCTTATCTGCTCGAATGAGCTGTCAGGCATTTATGTTCATTAAGACAAAGAGAATAAAGTACAGTAAATTAGATATCAGAGGAGCTCAATCTTGCTGCCTTTACTCTCTGCCTTCTCTGCCCTTCTTTGTGTAGTGGTATTAGAGTAGTATTGAGGAGGCTGTTGGCCTGCATTGAAGATGCATCGTTTTTCTTTTTTGTGTGGTCTTAAAAAGCTGCTGTTTTGTAATATATGCGGATAGCAAGATTTCCACCTACATTTGGGAGAAATACAACCCATTAAAACTTACTTCTGTACTTGGTCAGCTTGTTGAAATGATGACTGAAAACAGAGTACAAGCAGCAGACCAGTAAGATGAAGCCTATTGGACCTCTGGCTTCTTGCCTCACTAACGCTTTGTAATTGTCAGCAATAAGTAGGTAAGGAAGATCTACTTGCTGTAGTTGCACCTTGGGTGGGTTGAGCACAAACATAACGTTTCGGAGGAAGTGGATCCACAAGGAGGAAGTAAATCCACAAGTCTGGGGCTTCCGTCCAAACACCTTCAAAAACGTTGAATAGAAATGTTACAAGTATCTGAATACAGATTGTTCAGGCCTTGCATGGGGCTCTGTGTGCGGTTAGAGGTCTTTAAAATGTTTCTTAGAAGTGTGGAATAGGAGTGTAGGTGGAGCTGGGGTTGTAATTTATCTGACTGCATCTGTGGGGAAAAAAAAAAAAAGTCAGCTGTTCTTCTTCCTTCTGTGCAGCCATGGAGGTGTTTAAAAGAACTTATTTGCTCTTACTGTCTTGAATTGTTCAGATGTTGGGTTAATTTGACTAGTAGTGGATGAGCTGAAGTAACAGAGGGCTGCTTTGTCATAATTTGCATTGGTTTTAAGAAGTAGAAAGAACTGGATCATTGCCTGACATTAACTTTGAGATTCTGAACTAGCTTCTTCAGAAGGAGGTCAAGACTAGATCAACAGAATCCCTGGGAGGTTTTTTTTCCCCCTGATTTTAATGCTTCAGTAGTGCAGCTCTTAAGGTAATGACTTGCCCTTCCCCCAAACCAAGAAGTCCTCAGTTTTGTTACAGATCTTCACTCTTTGTACATTACATGCCAGGTACATGTTCTGGGCTTAGTTACTTGGCATCCATTTTCTTTTGTACAATAAGAACATGTCATGTGGGATCTTTTTTGGTAAATAGGCACCGTGGAAATAAAGGCAGAAACAGCCAACCCTTCTGTGTTGAAGAGCAGTATTTTTGTGGAATGGTATTTGTGTTAGAAGCAAACTGAAAGTAAGGAATATTTTAAAGTAATAGTTTAATACCTATTTAATTTCAGTCGGACCCGAGGCACAGGAAGCCTGAAGTGAGAATTGTTTTTGCTGTAAATTGAAATAACAGAGGAGACTTCGTAACGTAACAAATGAAATCTATGGTCTTGAACGTGTATAAACAAATGATTCTTTTGTCTTTGGTGCACGCCCGTAGTAGTTCACAGTACTGCCTTGGCAACAATCGTAGCAATTTCTCATGTTAACATGGCTTATTTTTAGCTCAGCCTCATCCTTGCACTGGGAATGTCTTTGTCCTGGAAACAGTATGTTCTGCGTCCATTTTCATCGTGCGTGTACCGTGTCTGCCTTTCAGATGGTTAAAAGAACATACAAGATCCAAATCGCACACTTTCAAACATGAAACTTCCCTTTCCCCTTGGAGAATTGTGCTTATTTTAGAAACAGGGAAATTTAAAGCTGATAGGCAATTTGGTCAGTATTATGCAATACTGCTGGATGAGAACAGCAAGTGGATACCATGGAGCACTGACAGCACGGTTACTGGAGAATGAGCAGCAGATGGAAGGAAAGCAGTACGAAGTTGTGCTTGCATGCAGACATCAATTGTGGCCATTGAACACAATGCACTCACACTCCTTATCCACTAATACCAATAGAATTAATCTGTGTTTCTATTAGTGCTTACATTTATTACCTGTGTTCCAACAGTGCTCCATGTTAGCAGTTGCATTTAAGGTTGTGGGCAGTGTGTGCCAACAGACGTTTTGGTGTGCCAGGATGGTGTTTAATAGCTGGAAAAGAATCACAAATCCACACTGCCTTTGCCTGCATGGCAGGTGGACAATTCTGAATACTGTTTTAGTAATAGTTACTGTTAGCAAGGTGTATATCTATGTTGTTAATGTATGTCTGCATCTGTTTGTCAGACTTCTTATGTGGTGAGAATGACGCTGTGTGTTTTCTGTTACAGGTGGTAATGAAGTAATGTGTGTAAGATATTCATCTCTAGAAAAAAATGCCTTCAGGTGTGAACACAGGATTTTCCCATCTTCCAGATATGTCCTATAAACTATAGAAACCCATAATACTGGTTTCTTTGTTTCTTTAATTCCTGTCTTGCAGATAGGTCACTCACATGCCACAGAGACGTATGCTTTGTGGGGGCATGAGTAGATGGAGGTGTTCCATCAAACTGAAACACTTGAAAGCTCGGAAAGTGCTATCTTTATTAAGAAGATCTCAGAACATTAGCTTGGTAGTATATTAAGTGCCTTTTGGAGGTACTAAAATGCACTGAAGGTCCTTTAAAGAAAATTGTTCTTAGCATTAGACCTGTACTTGATTTGACTTGATATCAAATACATTGATACTCCTACATCCTTAACCAACTGAAATCCTGTGAAAGGCATGCTTTTAAGTCCTTTTTTCCATAGCTGATGGTGATTTTTGTAAGGATTTGTCTCTGCCTTTTCCCATTTGGCCAATATTCTTCTGTGATGGTCTGTAATAGATTTACTTTCCCACAAGCAACAGTTTTAAGAGGACAGAATGGTCGTTTCATGATGTTCCCAATTGGCAGAAAACAGCTTGGGAGTGTAAGTGAAGCTGATAACATGGTATGATAGTAGCCAAGTAAGAATATTTCTTAGCTCCCTTTCTTACCATTCTGTACAGTAACTGTGTTGCTTCCATTGGTACTGCACGTTTGCTCATTTGGTAGAACTAAGGTTGTGAGTAGCTGTAAAGCTGGGGCAGGCTAATTTTAAACATCACAGAAGAAAGGACTTTAATACCTGGAAAGCTGGTGTTGGTTGTGCAGAAGGAAACATAGTTAGGGGATTACTACAGACTTTAACTCTTCTTGGTGTATACTGGAGGAAGGGCTCGGTGGGAAATACTGTTTAGCTTGGTTAAATATAGAGTAAGTGACACCCAAATATGATAGGCAATTCTTAAGCTTCTACGCATGTTCAGTTATGCTGCTTGTTACCAGCAATGAATAGCTGAGGCTCAGCTGGTATATTTCTTGAATGCTTGATTGTAGTCCTTCACAACATTGCTATTTGGAAAAAAATAATAGATATCTATTTTTTTTCTCTAGGTCACCTTTACGAAGAGGAAGTTTGGATTAATGAAGAAGGCGTATGAGTTGAGTGTACTCTGTGACTGTGAAATAGCACTCATCATTTTTAACAGCTCTAACAAACTCTTTCAGTATGCCAGCACTGATATGGACAAAGTTCTACTTAAATACACAGAATACAACGAGCCCCATGAAAGCAGAACCAACTCAGATATCGTTGAGGTAACAATCTGAATAGTTGAGCTGTGTTCTTATCTCATTAACACTTTGAATATGGAGCAATATATAGTATTTTAAGATATTTTAACTAACTATTTATTAACTTTAATCATAAAACATCAACTGCTGTTTTCAGTATGTTTTTTTTGTGAGGGGAAAAGTCACTTTTACATTTGTGTTGTCAACCCATCTGCCCTCCACCTCCTGCCTGTTATTTTGGTAGCTTGTTTGATTTAAATCACATTTGATAATGGAAATAGAAGCATGGAAGATTGTTTTTTAGCGAAAAGGAGCAGGGGGCTGGGGGGAAGGGGTGGATGATTCTAAGATTTCATGGGGGAAAAAAAATACAATTGAGTGGAGAGTATATCTGGAGAGTGGAGCTCACCTTAAACATAATTACAACTTGCCCCTCCTCTTTTCACTTAGCAGTTCAGTGTTGCACACAAATCGGCTGAGGACTTTGCTGCTTCTTGTCGAGCCAAAAGAAAGAAGTTAATCTGTGGAGGAAATTGACTTTATTAGTTGTTGTCCAATTACTTTGTATGTCAGTTAAAATATAGTAAAATGCACACAGCTTTTGCCATCATAAAATAGCATGAGTATATCATAGCTTCTATTTTTATTGTGCTTATACTTTCAGTATAGACTCAGGTTTTTTTTCAGTTTTTTTTAGTTTCTAAACTAGGTAGCATCGAAATCAGGGATTCTTTTTGTGGTTTGAGCCTTTCTCAGCTGTAGCTGAGTTTCAGAGGAGTCGTGTCTGCAGTAGTCCTATAAATGAACCAAAGCAGGTGTCTGACATTTAAATTCCAGAGCTGTCTTCCAAACAAATGCCTTGCCTGTAAGGAGTGGTTTGGGAATAATGGGTTAGCCTTGTATAGCTGAAGAACTGTATAGTCAGGGGATTACAAGTACAGGGAGGATACCATCTGATCTCTTAAAAAAAGTTTTCAAACAAAAATCAGTTTGAGAAAAATGAGAAATGAACAAATGCCTTCTTTCTTTCTGAGAAGATTATTTGCTATTTTGTTATCTGCCTTTTGTGATCAGGAAGATACCTGCCCAACATCTGTCCTCAGCTGTGCGTACAATTGAGAGGGATAACATAAGCTGTGAAGAGTTCAGGAATGTTACTTCATTGTTGGATTAGTATAAGTAAGGGTTAACCAACCAGAGAAGAGGAAGATAAAAACCTGATTATTTCAAGATGAGCCTGTGACAGACACAGATTTGAGAGGTGCAGGCAGACTGATGTTTGTTCTGCAGGCCTCACTGTGCTGTGGCTCATGGGAACAATTCTTCACATCTTCAGGGAGAACCTCTTTGAAAATCATTTCTGTGCCAGGCTACTTGTGTACATGTGTATTTTTTTCCAAACTGATGTCAAATGTTTGACCCCTGGCAGCTGCATAGAGAAGTGCAATCAGTACTCAAGTGCATATATCATTTCTATTCTGGGGGAATATGCAAGGACTCATCTAGAGATTCCTTATAACATTGCTTCTGTAGGTTTATTGTGTTATTCCATGATATTTGAGATATTACTGTAGTTGAAGAATGAGAGTTTGAATTAGAAATGCCTCTCTCCAAAACGCATCTGTTCACTCTCTGATCTTGTCCTAGAAAGGAAAGAATAGAAATAAATACGAAGTTCTTCAGTCTGAGAGAGGAGTCAAATCTTAGCTCCAGATTCTTAGAAATGTTCTGAAAGGTAACACAAAGGGGCTTCTTTTTGTTGTGCCTACTCAGAAATACATTTATAGCCCATACATATCACAGAAGAACTTACTAAATCAATTCAGAATAAATAGTTATAGCTGATGTGTGTCTGGTTAACATTTAGTAGTTCCGTTATGTCCTTGAATATGACAGGTAATGTTTGTTGTGTTCTAGTCTCACTGCAAAACTAGTCTTGACCCACTGGGAATGACAGGAGTTTGGTTGCTGTGGTAGAGAAGGAAGTTAATGTGATGCAGGCCAGTTACTTATTTTCAGCACTGTGTGGATGGCAGTATTGTGAGTGATTAAATGGAATCGATGAGACATCTTCCCCTTGTGGTTGCCTCCTGTTCAATGTTGGCATAGGAATTGCTTTGATATGCCCAGAGCTTGGTATCTTCTTGCTGCTGGAACGTTTGTGTGAAAACATAGTAGGAGGATGAGCACTGATGTCTTAAGTGAACACTAGATTATTTTTTTTAATGTGTTCCCTGCACCCTTATGTCTTTCATTATGCGTGGTACTGTAGATACAGATGCTCTGTTGTTGTCATATACCAGTTCTGTTGGTCCTTCCATGGTTTTTGCTTTGACTTTTTTTCTTTGATAGCTTGATAGAGGTCTGAGGAGTATTTTTTTCAGCTGTCGTGGCAGAATCATAGACATTTGAATAGGTGGAATGGGAAGTCTGTGTTTTATTATAAGTTGGGTTTTCTGACTATCAGCAGTTTACCTGAGGATGGTTCATTCATGGCCATTTGATGATTCTAAAATAAGGGAAATAATGTTGTAACAGATACCCTTCAAAGCTGATTAATGTCTAGTTTGTAGGACATATTTGATCTAAAGGAAAGCAAGGCAATGAGCAAGCAGTTAAACTCCATCCTAATTCGTAGGAGATATTGATGATTATTGGTCTTGATCCTTGTGGTTCTGTTGCTACTCAAGATACTCTGTGAGTATTGCAGATTGTTTAGAGCACGTGTCCAGTTTTTGGGTTGCCTAGGCCACACTGAGTGAAGAGGAATTGTCTTGGGCTGCATATAAAATATATAAATAATGTATACAAATGAAAAACTCCTCTTACTTTTCATATTTTTATTAAAACATAAAAAAGAGGGCAGCAGAAACATGAAGCTATTGGGTTGGATGCACACAGTGGGTAATCCTTCTGGGTTGTGTCCTTCTGTCCCTCAAGAGGACCTCATAAAGCAGTGTCTCTACCCTCTTTTCCAGTGCAGGAGTCAGGGTTGAAGACAGGCTCTTCTTACTTTATCAGCTTGACTTCTGTCTTTCTGTCTTTGGCATTTTGATGTTCCTTGAGTGATGCAGCAAACCAGGGTTAATTTAACTTACATTGGGCTGTGTTGGCTTTGTATGTTCTATTGTATCAACTCATCAAATTGAAATGATACAATTTTAAGAAGTCTTCTGAAAAATGACCTGTTTTCCCATTTGCCATCTGCGCCCATGAGAATTTTGGATAGTGTCAGTGATCCTCTGCACTGTATAGCTTTGCTGTTATATGGTGAAGTGCAGCGTAAGGCTTAGGCTGTACACCAGGTTGACAGCAGTCCTTGAAATATGCAATGATTTGATTAACAACAAAAAAAAAAGTATTAAAAGCAATCTGTCCTAAGCTACATCATGTAATTACTGTAAACGTGCACATTCTTGTGAAAAGACTGCAGTATTGGAATAGTCATGGGTTTGGGGTAACTTAGAGCAAGCTCTGAATGTTTAACTAAATATCTTAGCACAGGAAATGCTCACTCAAATAGAAAGTAATGTCTGCCATGACTTGGTGTGATAGTGGTCATGTCATATTTTCAATGGAAGCGAAGCAGAATGCAGGTTCAGTGTACCTGCTGCTACTTAGAGTAGTGTAAATATGCCACGTCAATCTTGCAGAAGCTGTATTCAGTGCATTGTCTTGCATTATAATACCAAACTGGAATTCCTGTTTCACTGCCTCTTCACAAAATGCTAATGATGAGCTATTGTAGGAGCAATCCATGTTCTCTAGTCACAGACATGCTTAGTGTCAGGGATTTGATTGTCAGATCATAGTTGGAGTATGTGCGTAGAGCTCATCTGCACTTGTAGAGCCTGCAGCATAAAGAAGCAGATGTATCTCCGCAGCCAGATGGAGCATATGCCAAGAGACACGTGTGGAGAGCATAAACAGAAAAGCTGGTGTTGAAATGCTGTGTTTATAAACCTAAAGCTTTTTTTTATTTTTAATCCAGTTCTTCCCACCTACCCAGTGTTGCTTCTTTTCCAGGCTTTTGATGAGCAATGTGTTTTTTGAACTGTTCTTGTTGTCTCATATAGAGCAGCAGTTTAACCTTGAACACTGTTGTATTTTGGTAGCACCTTTCATTTGGTTCATAGTTTCTTTTAAAATTTGGATGAACTTGGTGTTAAAATGAAGATCTGAGAATTATATGTAAATATACATGGCTGCACATGTGCAGATGCAAAATTAGATGAAAAAGACCTTCAATTAATTGATCTTATTTCCTTTCTTGATAGTTTTCACACTTTGCTGTATACCTGATGTGTAGATATCTAGATATGTATTTGGCACGTAATTTGGGCTTCTGTATTGGCATTAAAAGCTAAGAATGAAGATGCTGGAAATTGAATGAGTTCCTTCAGAAGTGTTTTCCTTTGAAGTGTTTCATAAGAGAAGTTACATGGTAAATTTTTAAAAAGGAAGAGAAGAAAATGCTCTCCAGCAAGCTTCCTTGGCAAATTGAAACTGATGGCTAAGGGGGGTTAAATTTCAAAATTTACAGCCTTTTAAAGGGAAGATAGTGCTGAGAAGTGATACCTTGAATGTTGAATTACACGCGTTGTCGATTGTAGGAAGACCGACAGTGCTCGGTTAGTTTGTATCACTTCCCATTCCTTCATATCTGATAGACGGAGAGCTGCCAGAAGTGGGCTAAAGTAAGTTTACCTGAAGTAAACAAAACAAAACAAAAAACCCCAAGGTATGGGGCAAGGAGGATGAGAAGCTGTGAATAAATGCCAGTGCTCTGAGTATTGCTGTCATGTGTTGCTATTGTTTGGAGCACTTGTTTTGGTCTCCACATAACTTTGACCGCACTGTAGCAGCAACTGGTAAGCATTTAAAAGAATTAAGGAGCTTCAAAATGGTTTCAGTTGAGTGAGGAAATGGCTTGATAATCTGTTCAGGATGCTGAGGAAATGTAGGCATTATTGGACCTGATTTGCTAAACAATTATGTAAATGTAATTATACTGCATAAATAAC